CATCGTTTGATATCTTTCAGATTAAAACCAAAACTCCTTGTTTTTATATCAATAGCAATCTAAGAACGGAAATTATTAATACACAAGACTGGGAATAGATAAATCATTATCAAAATGCTACGATACAGGTGCGGACCAGATGACATGTGTTATCAACGTACAAACATAACTCTCTGATCTAATTTCTTCAAATATCAATGATTACACAAAGGTGTGAAAAAGCGTTAGAATTTAATAAAAAAAATTATCCTGCACTTAATGGGCACAGCAGACCGCAACACATTACTTCTTTAAAATAGTGTCTTAATAAATATGCTTTTTAACATGCTTTATTAAAATGCTACTGCTTCATATTTGAGCAACCATAATAATAAGTGTAAATTAAGGAATTCCGAGAATGGGATTGTCGAAGATTGCACAATGAGTAAAGGGCTTTCCGATTTGTATTTTCCTTGTCTTTCTTTTTGTTCGAAGTCTATCCGTGTAGTCTTGATATGGGCATTCACTAATAACCTGTTAGAAATTTGGCCTTCGATATGCACTCAAATTTAAAGTGTATTCTGATATGCTCGTAATTTTTTATTGAAGAAATATATGGGTAAGGTGACGGTTATGTGGAGAGCTCAAATATGTTTATTGAGTCAAGTTAGAAAAGAGCTTCGGACAATAAAATTCATAAAGAGCTATTTCTATTTTTCGTTTTGATCGCCAAACTGTTTTTGTGTCGGACGCCAATATCATATATTTCAATGGTTGTATGATTTGTTAACATTTTCCTTTTCCATGGCTTTTTAAATGTTGTCATAAAGTGATAATGTTTCTCATAGTAGGAGACAGCAATATGGTGATCTGTAAATGTTTATATTCTATTTTTTACTCTTTTGACAGAAGTGGTTAGTTGTTTTTTCTTTCTTTTTTTTTTTTTTTTTTTGGCAATCATACCAAATTTCAATTTTTTCAATGTAAAGCCATAAAGGACTCATAACAAAAATATTTGTAATTAACACATTAGAAACATACATGTATCTGCACTTGACAGACATTGGACATTGTTAAATATTATCGAACCTTTCAATAACTAAGATTATAATATTGGACGGAGTGGACGAATGCTTATCTGATGATTTATTGCGTGGTGTAAGTCAGCTCTATCAAAAAAATCAGACTAGATAAAAATAGCACTGATGATTTTTAGTTTCTTAATAAGCCAATATAGAAGTTTAGGTTTTAAAATATTTGGCAGAATAGCGCTTCAGGCCAATACTCTGTTATGCAATAAAATTGTGAATGTAATTAAAGTACGTGTGTGACGATTGCTCGACCGATCGATAAGATATATTGCAAATTGCAGTGTTATCATCAAATCACGCAAAACACCGAAAGCTACAGTTCTTTTGGGGTCTTTGGACACAAGCATACAAGATGATGAACACAATTCCTTTTACATACACATCAGAAAATGAATATACATTTATTTAGCCTCTTGCAACGCTATTATTCCAAAAAATCTACAAAAGGTATTTGACTTACTTATATTTGGAAATGTGCTAGTTTTTCTCGCTTTTTGTTGATTTTCTTAATCATTGAACGTTTGAAACAAACTTTTGAAAAGCTAGTATAAATAAATGAATATTTTCACAAAATTTACGTAACGCTGTCAACATTTTTCAAGGAAAAGGAAAAGAGGAATATAAATAGAGACTATTCATAGAAACAGATTTCTGATCTTCTGTACAAAACTGTCATAGATGTCCATTTATTCATGCTCATAACAAGTTTGGGCCTTCTTCGTCTGAATCTCCATCCCTTTAAAAAACAATAACAAATATATAATTGTCGTTTTTAAGTAGTTCGTAAAATTGCAGAATGATTGCCCTTACAATATCCAGTACAAATCAGCACGTTTTGAAGATCTTACATTAATCTAAAAAAAACTGAAAATAACACGTTAAAAATTTCATGCATTCAATGCACTGGATTTATCATCATCAGGAACGCTTAAAGCATAATATTTCAAAGCTAAGGATGTAAAAGAATAAAAACAGTTATAGAGCTATATGACCAAAACAGGACCTGAAAAATAGCTAATCCATCTGTGTACAACTTTACCTGTGAAAATTGAAACCTTATATCTTTATAATTCAAAAAATTGATAAACGGACAATTATAACTATTTTGATCTGAGCGTCACTGATGAGTCTTATATAGATGAAACGCGCGTCTGGCGTATTAAATTATAATCCTGGTACCTTGATAACTATTTACACCACTGGGTCGATGTCACTGCTGGTGGACGTTTCGTCCCCGAGGGTATCACCAGCCCAGTAGTCAGCACTTCGGTGTTGACATGAATATCAATTATATGGTCATTTTTATTAATTTCCTATTTACAAAACTTTGAATTTTTCGAGAACCTCAGGATTTTCTTATCCCAGGCATAGATTATCTTAGCCGTATTTGGCACAACGTTTTGGAACTTTGGGTCCTCAACGCTCTTCAACTTTGTACTTGTTTGGCTTTATAACTATTTTGATCTGAGCGTCACTGATGAGTCTTATATAGACAAAATGTTCGTCTGGCGTATTAAATTATAATCCTGGTACCTTTGATAACTATAGAAAGGTTTGTTATAAAAACGAAACTATCCTTAAACAGTATAGAAGTATTCGGAAGCTTTTATCATGTTTATATTCATAAAGTGTTTATTTCATTTTCAAAAAAGATAGAAAGCGCATAACATATCAATGTAAATCAAAATAAATTATTATTTTGGTGTTTAATTTCTTTAATATTATAATATGAAATATGTCTAAAGTTGGTGTTTTCCGTTAGAAAGATGCAACTACCTCTTACAAAAATAAAGATTCCATCACTTCAACAAGTGTATTACGATATTTCTCTACTCAAGACAGTTAAATTTTAATATCTAAAGTGTGAGGCTTTGCCGAGCTTTTTAAATAATTAAAATTTAACTGTTGAGAGTGGAGAAATATCGTAATTCACGAGTTATAGTGGTGGAATCTGTTTCTCTAATGATTTTTACACTTCCTCTTTAAAGATTTGCAGAAAGTTGTGTTCTTTATATGTGACGTCATCAGGCATGGTCGCCTTTTTTCATGACGGCACAATAGGAAATTCAGAAAAAATCAAGAAAATTTAACGTCATAATTAAATTTCGACCAATCATTTGCTGAGAACAGATAATTCAATAGAGATGAGAAATATTTTTCTCACACCCCTCAAGAAATGTGAAAATAGCACAAAATAAGCTCTCTCTCTCTCTCTCTCTCTCTCTCTCTCTCTCTCTCTCTCTCTCTCTCTCTCTCTCTCTCTCTCTCTCTCAGAAGTACCAAATGGTTTCTGCAATATTTCAATTTCATTTTCTAACTGTCAAAATAAAATCAGAAAAAAACCGCACTGCTTTGAGTTCTAATTATAATTTACGGACTACGTACCCAAATTGATTTCCAAGCTCCAAAACTAAAGCTGCTATCCAATTAGCTCTTCCTCTTGCTTTCACCATCTGTAGTGCCATTGACATAGACAGAAGAAAGCTTTCTTTATTAGCCTCCAAAACCCGAACAAAAGAATGATGTTGCCCACAGTCCCAACGCCAGTTGCAAATTTGGTCGTAATGAGCGTATTTATTTGCATCGTTATATGTCATATAGTTCACAACTTTACTACATCGAATGTATCCTGTTTGCGACATGTAAACTGCAGTTTCATCTTTCGAACATACCCATTCTGCTACCAGGTCTTTGCTATAAAATAGAATTTATTTAAATAATGCTTAAGATCTTTTGAGTAAATCAAACTCAGTGCTATTTTTTTTTTTTTTTTTTGTAAATATAATATATATATATATATATATATATATATATATAGTGAGTAGTTAAAAAGTTGCCACCACCGTAGAAAGTCTTCACTCCAGACATTACGCCTTTATGCCAAATATCAATAGGCTTTTCCAAATTCAGTCTTTTTCTTCGGTTTTATCTTACTTATTGTATGTTTATTATGACATTTTGTGTTCATGATAAATCTTGGGTAAACGTGAAGGGCAGTTATGAAGCTAAAAGCCTAAACTGGACAATCATGTTTTTGTTCTGACTGGTAATGATGTCTTGTTGTTCTGACTGGTAATGATGTCTTGCCACTAAATCCATTGGATGTTGGATATGTACTGATTAATATTTTAGTCTTAGATACATTATTTTTTACTGTAGTTGTTATTGGCTTTGAGCTAGCTGTCAGTTTCTGCAAGTACTGAGTCACTCTTAGATCTGTAACTTTAATCTTTTTATATGTTTGTAAGCTTTGTATCGTTCTAATGAGTTAAGCTCTTTTCAACTGATTTTTATAGTTTCTTCTTATGTTGTGCTGTTACACTACTGTCCTAGGTTAGAGGAAGGGTTGGGCGCCCAAAAACATGTTTAAAGCAGCCAAATTCTGTATGTACATGTCCAAAGGAGCCTGAAATTCAATGGTTTTCGTTTGTTGCAGTATATCATACTTGTTTTTTCGATTATGTTTTATACATGAGTTAATCCATTGATCATATAAGGGCCTATTATAACTTGCTATGCGGGATGGGATTTGCTCATTCATGAAGGCCGTACGGTGACCTATAATTGCTACATTCTACGTTGTTTAGTTTCTTGTGAAGACTTTTCTAATTGGTCAATATACCACATGTACTTGATTGCAGGGCAACTGGTATAACATTTTAATGTTAAGCAAAAGTGTACAAATTGCCACAATTGATGACGTTTCGAGTATCTTAAAAAAATGTCTAAGAGAGGCGAAAGATACCAAAGGAATATTCAAACTTATAAGTCGAAAACAAACTGACAATGCCATGACAAAATACGAAAAATGACGAAAAGACAAACAATTGTCAGTTCACAAAACACAACACAGAAAACTAAAGTCTGAGCAACATGAACCCCACCAAAAATCGGGGGTGATTTCAGGTGCTCCAGAAGGTTAAACAGATCATGTTCCACATGTGGCACATGTCGTGCTGCTCGTTTAAGTACAAAGTCGGTTATATGTCTAATTTGGTAGGTCAAATTTGATGTAAAGAGGAATAGACTGTGCTTACGACAACTGGAACATACCCGTCGTACACTGTGGACACACAACTTCCAACTTCACAACATGCAAAAAGAACTTGCAAGATATATATATATATACTTTAATGTAATAAGATAATACGCTGATCGATCAAACCAGACCTTTATGTGTACTTGTAATATAAGTAATTCACAGCCCTTTTGTTGTAGTATAGTGTTAAATCATCGCCGAACAAAGACCTCCACAGGAACCCCATTCATTCGTGTTGATATTATTTTTTCTAATCTGAGCTTTGCACTTTTGCATAAGTCTCCTTCACAACGAACTGCGTTGACATAACTACGGTAAGCTAAATCCATATTATTTGATATTTCATAACAAACACCTAGAAGAGTATAGCACACAGACTTCTCATTTTTAGCTAAGAAATACTCATTTTGTATCGTACGACGCAAGTCCTGTAATGATAGTTTTCTTTTGTAAAAATCATTGAGATGATGGTAACACAAGAACTGGAGACAATGACACATTACAACAGGGGGAACTCTCAATTTGAAATCCTTAACTTCATACTGCAGTTCTCTCGGTATCAACAGTGAGCCTTTCAAAAATATTATGTCGCCTATTGTTGCGAGTCTTATCCTGTCCTTAAGAGTAATTTGTTGACAGTGCGCAAGACGTTGATACGTGCAAAACGTTTTAGACAGATAGAAGAAACAACCCAAGTACAACATGTCCGGTGAGCAACGAGATAATATAGAATCCACGATCCGTAATGCCACGTTATAGTTTTTTATTGCGTAAAAGAATGACGCACTCAACAACCAGCCCGAACCAGCGTCTGCCATTGTGCCATCACGTAATATTTTACGACTCAGAAAATAACGTTGTTTGTTCTTACTGAATGTGGAAAATAACATCTGTGTCACTTGTTGATTGAAAAATCCATGATAAAATTTGAATACATCTCTCAAAAACGCTGAAGATTCAGATAACGATATTTGTTTTAATAAAGCTAATATAGTGTAATATTTTTCCACATTCGAACTTGCAACGCATGCTATAGAAGTTAAAAGAATCTTGTAAAATAATATTTCCAGTTTAAAAGGCTCGTCTCTTTCTACATGTTCTACAACAGGAGAGAACGTTACAATGTCATTTGAACTCAACACTTTTTGAACTAAAGCTTCCATTCCGTGATATTTCATATCAGTAAATACAGACAACAAAGTTTTGTTATTTGATGTGTTAATTTTACCTTTGAACAAGTTTTGTTCTGGAATGAAATAGTTAGGTAAATAGCATACATCGATGCATTTTGTAAGTTTATCGAGGCACAATTCGAAACATGCCATCAAATTTGAAACTTGAAACTGGTCGATTGAAATCTCTTCAGAAACCCAAAACAAAGTCGTTTTCATGAAATATGAGCATAGAAGGTCTTTCACGTGGTCATTCTTGTTTATAACGTTTTTCAAGGTCATTTTCAGAAGTGAGTAACACAACAACTGTGTGTAATTGAATGAATGACATAGCTTTTTTTCTGCCACTGAAAATGATAATCTCCACCACAACTCCTCGTTTTCATTATATTTTGGACCTATTGGTACAAGTAAAATGCCGTATCTTGTAATACTTTCCACTAATCCATCAGATGGCCATTGCCATCGCCTTCGACGATAGATCCAGTTCACGGCTTCACAAGGCCAAATACGTGAGCGAAGACAAAATGCTATATCTTCATGTTGATAAGGGTCTGAGAGACACGGACCGTGAATTTGCCCATTACTTTTAGTTCCAAGCAAAAACTTCATTAATCTCTGACTTGAAAAATAAATACCTGTTTCTGTCTGGACTAAAAATGAAACACAAGCTTTATGTTTTGTTAAGAGTTTCAATTTGGCAAATCCGGGATATTTATTGCATTTTTCCATTAAAAATGTAGCATGTCCTGGCCTGTAAACTTCTTTCACATCTTGAACAACATCTATGTTGTGAACTATGTACATGATGTCAATGTCACTTCCTGGTAAATCAAGCCCTTCCGCTAGACTCCCACTTGATAACTTTGTGGTACCAAGACCAGCATTGTTGTCTACAAAATCATTTAACTTTAACAATCGTTGTCTTGATCTGACTACTTTCTCTGTACCTACTATTTTTTGTAAACGTTGGAAGCGGCATTTTTCTTTGAAGCAAAATTCAGAAGTGTGGCCTTTGAAAAAAATACAATTATTAATAAACTTAAACTTTGTATAATATTAAGTACTTTTCTTAATACTTTATAAGGATAATTTACATTTTTTTTTAGAAAATAATTGAGTTGTTACGACTAATTCTCATTTTGTCTTCATTCTTTCCAATCGATTAAAGTCTTACAAATATCAGTCTGCCTAAAATACAGATCTTTTGTCCAAGCTTTGCTTACAAGGATCTGACAACTCCCTGTTTTAATTTCTGTTATGGTAAATATTACTATAGCCAATGAAAAAATAGCCTTCAAATTTTTAAAAGTATAAGTGTATCAAAATACGACAAAAATAGAAGAACGGACCGTTTTCAGGTCCTTGTAATCATAGATTGGACATGGTCTGTATTTTAATCAGATTTGACAAATATGTAAAACTGGACGATAAGAAATAAACACATTTTGTTTAGGGGCCAGATGAAGCCCGCCTCCGGATGCGGGATTTTCTCGCTGTGTTGAAGACCCATTGGTGGCCTTCGGCTGTTTTCTGCTCTTTGGTCGCGTTGATGTCTCTTTGACACATTTCACATTTCCATTCTCAATTTTACAGAATAACAAATCATCTTATTCAAATCCCTAACCAAAATGTATGAATAAAACAGATTAATGACGATACGATCTAATGTATAATGTGGGAGTGGATATTACTGCTGTGGACAGAAGAAAGCTGAATATTTAAATTTAAATTTCCCAAATACTACAGTTTTAACAGATTTAAGATTTTAAGATATACTATATTATTTGGAAGTTGATATTACTTCATGGACAGAAGAAAGCTGAATATTTAAATATAAATTTCCCAAATACTACAGATTTTACAGATTTAATAGATTTAAGAGTTTAAGATATAATATATTATTTGGAAGTTGATATTACTTCTATGAACAAAAGAAGGTTGAATATTTAAATCTAAATTCAATTATCCCAAATACTAAAGATTTAACAGATTTAAGACTTTAAGATATACTATATTATATGGAAGTGGATATTACTTCTATAGAATCAAGAAAGCTGAATATTTAAATTTAAATTTAGATTTCCCAAATACTAAAGATTAAACAGATTTAAGACCTTATGATATAATATATTATTTGGAAGTTAAGATTACTTCTATGGACAGAAGAAAGCTGAATATTTAAATTTTAATTCAAATTTCCCAAATACTAACGATTAAACAGATTCAAGACGTTAAGATATAAGATATTATTTGGAAGTTGACATTACTTCTCTGGACAGAAGAAAGCTGAATATTTAAATTTAAATTTCCTAAATACTAACGATTAAACCGATTTAAGAAGTTAAAATATAAGATATTATTTGGAAGTTGATATTACTTCTATGGACAGAAGAAAGCTGAATATTTAAATTTAAATTTCTAAAATACTAAAGATTAAACAGATTAAAGACATTAAGATATAAGATATTATTTGGAAGTTTATATTACTTCTATGGACAGAAGAACGCTGAATATTTAAATTTAAAGTTCTAAAATACTAAAGATTAGACAGATTTAAGACGTTAAGATATAATATATTATATGGAAGTTGATATTACTTCTAAGGACAGAAGAAATTTAAATATTTACCTTCTGATTTAAACTCACAATCCTCTAAATACTCCAGGTAATCATTGCTAGTTTTATCAGGAAATCTTATATTTAAGATCGACTGCTCATGCATTATCCTTCGTTGCAAACAGGATCGGAATTCTCTTTCAAACTGATGAATGGTTAGACCAAAAATATCATTATGTATGCTTAGGTCGCCATCAAATGTTTGATAGAGAAGAGGAGAATTTTTTCTGTATCCTTTGTATCGGAAATGTTTTACTCCATACATTTCCCAATTCGTCGTTTTGCGTATACTGACAGCCGGCTCGAAATCACCATTTTGGCGTCTTTTATTATCGTGATCATCATTTAGGCGTTTATTATTATCGTCATCATCATTTATTACGCGTCTTTTACCATCGTTATCATCAAGGTGTCCATCAATATCATGGTCATCATTTAACCATCTATCATCATTGTGATCAACAGCTAGTCGTCTGTCATCATCGCGGTAGTTATTAAAACGTCCATCAGTATCGTAATCATCATTTAACCGTTCATCATCATCATGACAATCATTAAGGTGTCTACCATTACCGTGATCAGCATTTAGGCTTCTATCATCATCGTGGTCATTATTCAGGCGTCTATTATTACCGTGATTATCATTTAGGCGTTTATCATTATCGTGATCTTTTAACCGTCGATTACCTTCATCTTTTTTCGTATTCATTTAATGCAATAATTGTTGATTGGACGTAATTCTGAAATAAAATTTTCTTATGTTTGTATAGCTATAAACAACCAACTTTTTCAAAAATGACATTGAAACTTATCCTATTTTTTACAGATAATTACAACTTAATTGTACTCTTAGTTGCTTGTGTTCAAAGAACCAACGAATGTGTTTTTTTTATCTGATAAAGAGAGGCAAAAGATATCAAAGGGATATTCAAACTCATGAGTCGAAAACAAATTGACAATGCCACGGCAAATAAAGAGCTGCTCCATGAGCGCATGATACGCCCCCTCCCATTTAGCTTGTCCTTATGCTTTAATGAATGTATATGATCAACTAGAAGTACTTTGAGCACTTCTCAAATAGACCCCTCTCCAACAAAAAAAGACATGCACACAGTGGTACCCACTGACACATAACAAACAATTTGGCACTATTAAGGCTACATCAAATTTAACTAAGTGTTTGTGCCTCGATTTTTGAACGTATATAATTCTGTAACCGTCCAAAGTGTGAAAATGGACAGTTTATGACGATTTTTCAACCAATATAGTTCCGTAACTTCGCAAAGTTAAAAAAGAAATTTATAAAAAAAAAAAAAAAAAAAGAGGGGAGCTTATTTCAATAAATATAAAAAAAATCACCAAAGTTTCATCAAAACTGCTCAAAACGTTTTTTTTTTTTCATTCATTGTCTGAAAATTGGAAAATAACCCTTATTATCGATATAGTCTCAATACTCAAAAACGTAAAATCAGAAATTTATAAAAATCGAAAGGGAGCTTTCGTCAAAAAAAAAAAAAAAAAAAATAGATATAAACAATTCACCATGAAAATGGGTGAAGGGTTTTTGAGTTATTGTCCGAAGTGTTGACGACGGACGGACAAACGAACAACTGTATACCATAATATGACCCGTTAACGGGCGTATAAAAACAAAAAACGACGAAAAGACAAACAACAATACAGAAAACACAACATAGAAAACTAAAGACTGAGCAACACGAACCCGAGCAAAAACTGGGGATGATCTCAGGTGCTCCGGAAGGTACTTTTTTATTGTTAAACTGATGTTCGTTCTTCTTTGAGGAGAACTATTTTTTTTATCATAAAAGTGTTTTTTTATCAATTTTCTTCCAAATGAGAAAATTTAGAAACATGCAGGTAATGATGGTTCGACACTTATTTTTAAAATGCTTTTTGGCTATTCATGATATTTAAATATGATAATTCATTTGTCATAATATATGACAAAGATGGCTACCTAATTAAACTCAACTTAGATTTGTGTTTCATTACAATCACTGTTAACAAAACTGCTACATTCTTCTAGTCCATTCACAGATTTAAAAGTGAACACTGTGGTCGAATCAGTGACGCAATTTATTAATGGACTGTGACTTTGCTTTTTGGTGTTTTTTTTTTTTTTGTTTTTTTTTTTGCTGTGCATGTACTGAGTTTGTGTCATGGATGGATACCCCACATCCTTTATATTATAACACTTTTCATGCCTTCGAAACTTTTTCAAACTTATTAATAAATGTGTGATTTTTTTCTTATTTTATAATGTTCCCAAACTACGATGATCAATTTTTGCATTCGAATGTAAAAAAAAAAAAAAAAATAAACACGCAAATATTATTTCTACAAATTTCTGTAAAAATGCACAAACAAATATCGAATTGCACTTATTTGGAAAATTGTCGGTTTAATTTTGACTTATGTGTTTGAATGTCCCTTTGGTATTTCGACTCTCTTATACAAAAACATTGTGTTTGCTTTTTTCTTATATGCTTAACATTACACAACCAAAACATTTAATAGTTTCGTGACTGTCAACTTTTACCAGTGAAATGTAATGATACTGCATTCTTGCCTCTGCATGAGTATTCTTAGCCGTAGAAGAACAGTTTGGTCTTCTGTTCCTAAAAATGGCTTAATCCACGTCGTTCTATTGATATTCTTTTTTGTTGTAACACTAAATACTAAAGCATGAAAAATGTCTTTTCAAAACTGCAAAAGACTCATGGAAAATCGAACTTTTTTCCATAATTAATCGCGTTTTTTTTTCAATTATAATTGGAAATTGTGGAATTCAATGATTTAGCATAGTTAATAATATTTTTATTGAAATCATCAGAACTTACATTTATTTTGAAGTTTGCTTATCGACACACGTCCAATAGAATAGTATTCCTTCATATTACTTTAATCTGTTTGATTCCAAAAATTGCAATTAAAATTTATTTATATAGCCTCGTATCATACCATACAAGGAAATAAATTTAGGATATTTATATTGATTAGAATGTAACAGTGTCATAATCATACTGTAAACACTGATTAAAGAAATAAACATGTAAAAGTTTAAATTGATTTAGGTCTTATATGATAATGTATCTCGTTTAAATTTAGTGTGAAGTCTTCCTGTTCCTCGTGAATGTTTTCACCCAGGGTTTTATATTTATTGCCTCAGTTCCTCGTCTTTGTCTTCCTTATTTTTAGCTGTCTGTCTTTGTTGTCTTCCTTATTTTTAGCTGACTGTCTTTGTTGTCTTCCTTCTTTTTAGCTGACCTGACGTCATCGCTTGTCCGTCGTCCGTTAACTTTTACAAAAATCTTCTCTGAAACTACTATGCCAATTGAAACCAAACTTGTCTACAATAATATTAATTCCACATAGTTTAAAAATAGTGTCCAATCATCCCGCATTGCAACTAACGGTGTCGACATAGCTAGAAACAGAACATTGAAAAATGCAATAGATATAGAGAGCAATCTTTTTCAGAATCTTCAGAACTACCTACTGTTCTATTTACATCAACGCTCTCATACGACTTCTTATAGGATTTATTGCCCTTAATCCATTTTTTTTTATGTGAGCTTATTATCTTGAAACATAATAATAATTATTAATAAATAGAGAGAACGTTAAGAGCAAAAATTATCAGCAAGACAAGATCTACACATGAGTCAACATGGCCGAAATCGTCAGTCGACTCCTTATTGAAGTAATTGCCGTTTAATAACGAGTTTTAACATTTTTTTGTATTTTTGTATCTTGAAAACTATATAAAAACTAGAGGCTCTCAAGAGCCTGTGTCGCTCACCTGTATCTACTGTGGTTTTGGAAATCATGTAAAATAAGGTTAAAATCATGAAGATACCCTAATAATGATTGGGGCCAAGTTTGGTTTAATTTGACCCAGTAATTAAATTAAAAGCAGAAGATTTTTGAAAAGATTTACAAAAATTACCAATAAATTGCAGAAAATAACTTTAAAAGACAATAACTCCAATAAGATGTCAATTGCTAATTGGTCATGTTAACTTATTTGTAGATCTTTCTTTGTTTGATAGTTTTGCTGTTTACAGTATATCTCAATCTATAATGATATTCAAGATAATTAACAAAAAATTTAAAAAAATACCTTTCCTCTGCTCCAAAATTTATTTCACCCAGGGCCTGTATAATGCTGAAAATGCCTTTAATTGTTTTTATGGAACACCCTTCAAAAAAAATTGGGCAGGGGTTCCCCTGACCCCGACTTACCCGCCGGGTCTGGGGGGCATTCGCCTAATATAAGTATGCTGGAAGAAAAGAATTAATAATGGTTTATAGAAAAAGTCACACTGAATAATTCTGAAAATGGAACATATCAAGGAGAAATTATTAGCATCCCACCCCCCACCACCTGAAAAAAAATTGCACCCCCTAGTCTTACAATAGTTACTGAAGACCCCTTATCATTATTTAAATAAGTTTTCAAGTTGTGACCATTTGAAATTGATTTTTTTACATTTTTCCCGTTGACTTCTATAGTAAAACCCTATGTTTTATTTTTACCAATGGGGACCATTTTAGTTATAGGGCAGGGTCATCAGATACATTTTTCAATCAAGATACTCTAATAATAATTGTGGCTAAATTTAATTCCAATTGGCCAAGTAGATTAAGAGGAGAAGATTTTTGTAAAAGATTAAAAAAATTACGAAAAATAGTGAAAAATTTACTTTAAAGGGCAATAACTCCTTTAGGGGTCAATTGGCAATTTTACCTCTATGTTCAATGTTGATTTAGATTAGAAAAAATTAAGAAAAATTGTGAAAGTTTGACTTTAAAGGGCAATAACTCCTTAAGGGGTCAATTGACAATTTGGTCATGTTAACTTATTTGTAGATCTTACTTTGCTGAACATTTTTGCTGTTTACAGTTTATCTCTATCTTTTATAATATTCAAGATAATAACCAAAAACTGCAAAATTTCCTTAAAATTACCAATTCAGGGGCAGCAACCCAACAACGGGTTGTCTGATTTGTCTGAAAATTTCAGGGCAGATAGATCTTGACCTGATAAATGTTTTTAAACAGTCAGATCAGATTTGCTTTAACTGCTTTAGTTTTAGAGAGCTTTTTACACCTGTTCTATATTTAGCCATGGCCGCCATCTTGATTAGTGGTTGGGGTCATCGGATACATTTTTTAAACTAGATACCCTAAGGATGATTTAGGCTAAGTTTGGTAAAATTTGGTCCAGTAGTTTCAGAGGAGAAGATTTTTGTAAACGTTAACGACAACGACGACGACGGACGACGGACGCCAAGTGAAGAGAAAAGCTCACTTTCCCTTTGGGTCAGGTGAGCTAAAAATAGATTGACATTTAAATAACTAAATAGATCAGCAAGACAAGATTTAAAAACAAATGTTCATGTCGGGGTCTGTTACAGCCGACTATACGCTACGGTGTTTCTCAATGTTGAAGGCCGTACGGTTGCTTTTAATTGCTTACATCCGTTTCGTTTGAACTTTGGTGAATTATTGTCTCATTGGCAATTATACCACATCTCCTTATGTTGATATCATTGACCAATGAAGCATAAGAATGAGGTCAAGGTCTGATGAACCCTACCAGACGGAAAAGTGTGTTATGCGACTTTCGTCTTTCTTCCAATGACAAAGAAGTATCTGCATCATGTATCAGTCTCAAATTAATCAAGTTGGTACACGTTATACATACATGTTCATATATGGTCAGGAGCCTGTTGTTTAGTGGTTGTCGTTTGTTGAGGTGGTTCATAAGTGTTACTCGTTTCTCGTTTTTTAAATAGATTAGACCGTTGGTTTTCCTGTTTAAATTATTTACACCAGTCATTTTGCGGCCCTTTATAGCTTGCTGTTCGGTGGGAGCCAAGGCTCCGTGTTGAAGGCCGTACTTTGACTTATAATTGTTTACTTTTTACACATTGTGACTTGGATGGAGAGTTGTCCCATTGTGTCAACATATATGTGTTCCCCCTAACAGAAGTTCCAGTGGAAACTTTGTTATAAACAATGTCATAATATTTGTTCCTGTTGGAACAAATATTCTATACCATTTATTCCGTTAGGAACATTTACTGTAATATTTATTCCAGTGGAAATAATATTCCAGAATACACTATCCCGTGACAATTGGCACTCATACCACAATTTCTTATTTCTACATACTGTGACCTTATCTAAATAGATAGGACCTATTTCTCTCGAATTTATTACGAACAAGGATTATTTTCAAAAAGTCTTTCAATCTTTTCTTAAATTCACAATATCGCAACCGAATGTGCATGTCAATAGTATGTCTTATTGCTAAAGAGATTACCTAATTATAAACGGAAGATGATAATCCTAAATTGCAATTTTGACTAATTTGGGTATTTATAACAAAAGTATATATCAAACCAAACCAAAACTATATTTGAAGTAAGTTTATGTGTTGCCATTTGGGAACACATTAATATTATAGACTGACGTTTTTTTATGCAATATTTGACAAAATCATTTTTTTTTTTTTTATAAACTTGCAATTTTGTATGAATATACCTTCAGCAGTAATCGACATTAAAGAGCAAGTACTCCTACAAGGCATCGACTGATGATTTCGGCTATTTGACTTATTTTTAGATTAAGTCTTGCTGATCATTTTGTTAATTTAAGTTTCTATCTATCTATTATAGTTTTTCAGATATTAGGCAAAAACGCAAAAAATGGAGAAAAAAAATCATTACCAAATGGCAATAACTCCAATAAGAGGTCGGCAGACGATTTCAAGATTGTAAACTTATTTGTAGATCTTGTCTTGCTGAAAACTTTTGCTAATTTAAGTTAAACTTTATATCTATCTATAATAGTTTTTCATATATTGGGCAAAAACGCAAAAAAATGAAATTAAAGGGAATTAACTCCAATAAGGAGTCGTCTGTCGATTTCGACCATCTCATTTATTTGTAGATCTGGTCTTGTTGATTATTTTTGGAATATAAAGTTTCTCTCTACCTATTATACATTTTATAGTTTTTCAGATATTAGGCAAAGTTTTTTTTTTAACATAAAAAAAAAATCGGTAAAATTCGTCATTTAAAGACAATAACTCCTATTAAAAATCGTCTGACAGTTTTGAAGTAACATAATATGTAGGTCTCATCATTCTGAACATTTTTGCCCATTTCAAAATAATAGACCAACCTAGTATTTTATCCGTATGTTCTATTTTTAGCCATGTCGGCCATGTTGGTTTGCAGGCGGGGTCATTGGGCATATTTTTTTAACTAGATACCCTAATGATAATTGTGGCCAAGTTTGGATAAATTTGGACCAGTAGTTTCAGAGGAGAAAATTTTTGTAAAAGTTAACGACGACGGACGCAAAGTAATGAGAAAAGCTCACTTGGCCTTTTAGGCCAGGTGAGCTAAAAATGAATTTTACCGTACTTCAATTCATATCGGTTGCTGCACTTAATTGAAGATTTTATACAGCAGTACAGCAAAAATGATCTTGTGAAATGCCCCAAAACTATACAGAAGAACGGTTTGGTATTGCTACAAACTACAAATTGTCTCACAAAGTTGTTTTATTAACGGACTGGGGAATAGAAATATGGCCACCACAGGTCTTCGTCCGACCGGCAGTAAACCCCTTGCCGAAGTGGGGAGTCCGTTTGGCTTTTCGGGATGAAAAGTACGCAGCACGTCTAGTCAGAATGGAGACGTTAAATCTGATGCCTCGTGTAGAGAGAGTGCCACGCTTTCTGCACGTTAAGAACACTTGCAACTCTTCGAGGGGTCCGAAGGTGGCGTGTTTTAAGGCTAAATTTCTGTCTCTATCCAATTTATCCTTGTTTTTCAGTGTCAGTCTAAATTTCCCCGACCATCATCCCGGACGACCTCTATCACAGGACCTACC